GGGGAAGCCGTTGTTGGTTTTGTGGTGTTCCTAGCTTTTGTAGTTGTCTCATCATAAATGTGATATATTTATTTTTAAAAGAACTTGTTAGTACTGTTTCCTGTTTCTAACTGCTAACCATTTAAAGGTACTAATTGCAAAGTATTGAATAAAACATACAAAAGGTTATCTTGAACTGGATGGAGTAGTTTGATAGCATTTACTCCCTCGCGAAAAAGATGATTTYATACATAAATTCTACACACCTTCCAGAAAATTATTTCTTTACTGCCTTATCTAGCTGGAGTATTTAATTTACTGTCTGGATGGAGTATACATCAAGTCTAATGTTGTATTTTGCAAAAATAAAACTATAATTAACGCACTTGCCAGACTTATTGTACAATATAGGTCAGGGGTAGGCACGAGTGCTTTACTTGTTTGTCTGCTCCTTTACACCTGTTTCAGTGTTTCAAGTTTTGCAGAAGCTTGGTAATCACAAGTGCTGCACTAATTATAGTTCTCTGGCTGATCACCGATCTTTAAAAAGTCTGACCTGCCGATTCCGACTTTGACCAATACCAGTTTTTGAACAACTGACACTGTCAGGTGTTATAASGTCACAACAYACCTTCAATGTTCCAATCGTAGTTTATTAAGAAACATTGAGCAATACCCTTGAAACAATATAAACTTGTTTTAACTGGACATTATGTAGTGCTTACAGCAGAGTAAAAGTGGACGGTAGCTGGTTTTCAGACCTTTGTGGAGGTAGATGAGAAGCCAATCTTTTCCACTGACCTTACCGAGGTATTGGCTGATCTCCCAACATTAATTGATAAATTGGCCGACTGATTTATCCRTGCACCCCTTGTAACCCCTTCATTCAAATCAGGTGTGTTGGAGAAGAGAAACAAGCAAAACATGAAGGATAGTGGGACTCAAGGACCATGATTGCCCACCCCTGRTAAAGGTATTTTGTCAGGTTAGGAGAATGCTGGCCAAACAGCTGAATGAACACAATCACTTAATGATCCTAATGATTGAAAAAGACAAGTTTTTTATGTTGGGGTGGGCTGTTGCAACAATATTTGTATCAGCAAAGTTAGTATATCTGTATATTCATAATAATACCAATAGTAATAATACTAATAATACTAATTTAATAAAATAATAAAAATACTTCCAAACAARGACGAGAGTAATACACTCTCCAGCCAAACTAGACACTTGTGAGGGAGCCTCAGTTTGGAAACGCTGTCATGCCGCTGCCTTGTTTTCATCCTGTGGCGTCTCAACAGTAGCCACAGAATATGAGAGTGAAACATGAACTAGTCGGCTGCTGTGGTGATTGCGGTTTCCCTCTAAACCACATTTATTACCTCTAAAAATACAGAGTGGTGTTTSAAAATAAGCCTGGTTCCTGTTCTGTCCAACTGCATCTGTAAAACTTGTATCAGGATGGACAGTGATTAATTGACACGACCATCCAAGCCCTTCAGTTGGAGAGCGAGTCCTGCGGCTACAATGTYCGTGCCATTCTTTATTAAAATTCAGAGTCTACTTGAAATCTGGTTGCCAAGAAGCCCTATTATGTCATCCATAAAATGTCTCAACTTTTTTTTTATTTAAACTTGGGACTCGGGGCCCCATTTTTCTTCTTCCTGTCTTGCATCTTTTTCATCTGCAAAAAGCAGTCTGAGTCTGTCCTAAATGATATGATGCTCATTTGCATAAAGCCTAGCTAATCTGCTTTCTCAACAGTGAGGTAATGTCTCAGCAAGTCTTTCAGGGAAGCAGGTTTAAAACGTATCCACCAGAGGCAGCTAATCAATAAGGAATGGCAGATTTCTTTTGCTGAGTTTTTTTTTTTTTTTGGGCAGGAATTATTTTAATGCACGCTTTGCCTTGTAAGAGTTTATTGGTTTGATTTAATAAACAATGAATTATATCGTCCACAGGCATTTGATTCTATGCGATATCTTAAGCGAGAGTATTTGACTCATTTACTGTAGAGACTGTATATTTAAAATACAGTCTCTGCTTCAGCTGTTTGTCTGGATGGCTTAGAGATTTATGGAGCTTGTCATGAGACAGATGGATTTGAGCTCTCAGTTTCAGTGACACAGCACACTGCCTCTCAAATCATCAGATGTTTGTGTGTGTGTGTGGGGGGGGGGACAGGGCAGGGGCATGTCTTGAGGTAAGCAAAGGCCATTCAACATATTTATTTTTCTCCTTTGAGGCTTTTGACCGGCTCTCCTCGTCAATCTTGTGCTGTCAAGGATAGCCAGAGGTGGGAACTGCCCTCTCTCTTTCTCACAGGGGCCACTGTGTACATGGGGACCCCAGGGTCAGGCCCTGGAAGCTCCTTTAGTTACTGTTGTGAAATCCTCTCTGTTTGGCTCTCACGTAGCCGACAATGCAGCGACCTTCTGTTTGTCATTTACGCTTATGAGGGTGAATTAATAAGTCATCTTAATGCTCTTAAAGCTTCCTCGGTTCAGCAGTTCTGCCAACACCCCTCCCCCAAAGAAAAATAAAAACAAAAAAAACGGAACAGTCAACTTTCAGCTCCAAGTCCTGAAGGGTTCATTAATTTTCGACAGACTTTCAGCTGCAAGTCCTGAAATGTTGATTAATTTTTCCGACAGAAACCTCTACATGTAGCTGCAGGGAAGCGAGGGTGGCAGATGAAGGTAGAGACACGAGCACGAGAGAAGAGAACAACCCAACCGAACCAAGTTTCTACATGTGTTCCCCCATCTGACACGCGTGTGTTTCTGATCTTGCCGCTTTCTCTGGGAGAGGAGGATGTTTCCTGTTTAAGCAGACTGGTGGGTTCACGGAGGAGTCGGCGGGGGTCGGGTTCCCTTCAACCGACGTCTGGTTCTGCTGAAGCAGATTCCCCACATCTCCATCAAACAGCAGCTCGGTTTTGGCACCGCTCTGAAAACTGACCCTGGTGATCGCTGAATGTTTTGGTATCTGAGCCTTTAAACACAGTTTTCTGCTCTGCCGTGGCCCTCGAGTTTGAAAGGAACAAGAAACAAACGATTCGTGTTCGTGTCGCCGAATTTATCTTTAAAAAGGKGCCTGCGTTCTTAACAAATAGTCGTGCACTTTTGTTCCAAAACGAAATCTGGAACTTGTAGCGAGGGTTTATAAACACAGATGCTCGGTATTGATTTAAAGTGTCATTTGTATCATTTCAGGCCAATCACTTGACTTTTTGATGATGTGTTCAAGATCACCAAGACGGCGTGCAAACAACTGGATTACAACYTTTTTTCCCTGAAATTTGCATCATTTTCATTGGAAGGCATATTTTTAGAAAATTACAGGCAGTTTAATTTTTTTCCTGYAAAACATTGGTAATAGTCAAATGTTACATAACAACCCATGTTTTTACTATTAAGTACATTTAAACAAGTCTTACGATAAAACCACACTGGGCTGCAACTAGTTGGCATTTATGAAGGAGTGTAAAACAAACAAATCCCACATTTTCTTTAAAAGTTCCTGCAATTTTGAGTCTTTGGTCACAACTCTATAAGATTTAAGACGTGGATTAGTTTGTGTCCATTTGTACGTTTGATTACTTGTAGCTGAACACAGTTGCAGTGGGTAGAACAGGGTCATCTGTTGACATGATTTAAGACAAAATTTGTGATGATATTCAATCTGAAATGTGATATACAAGATAGGCGGGGCTGTGTGTGTGAGGTTGTGTCTGCCATGTCCAGACTGGTTCCACTCTTGCTAATAAAAGAGATCTCGCTTTAGTTTTTGGATACTGATCTCGCCGCAGAAGTTTAAGGATCTCATTCACGGTTCTCACCGTGTTTACTCCTCAACGTCTCACAGCAGGGCTCTTGGTCTCAGGTCATAATTAATGGGAGTGACAGGTCTGCCTTTGGGCACGTTGAAGGCTCAGCCAGACAGTGTCTGCACGCCGACAAGAAAAAATAGCTGAACTTGTACTAGCAGTCCTGTCCATCTTACCAAGTTTTAAAATCTTATAT